AAATAAAATGCTGAAGTGGTAGGTAGAAAAGCAGTATGTTTTTAAAGTGAGCTTTATTTCAAGTCCTAAGCTGGATTAAATATAATTAACTCATATAAAATGTTCAAATGGTCAGGTGGCTTTAGTTTCTGAGTTTGGTAACAAAGCAATTTTTGGAAAGCAGGGCAAATAAAAAACTTAAATAGTTTTTAAATTTAAAAAAAGTTTGTTTTAGTTTTTAAAGATGCCTCTTTTCTCATTTTGCTACCATGGTTCTCAACATTATATAACAGCATGTTTCACATATCAATCTTATTGAACAGGTATGCCACTAATTCAACAATTCTTTCACAGAAATCAGGAAACTAGGGCATTGGCCAAAGGCATACTCTCTTAAAAACAGTACAAATTTTGCTATAGCCCCCTTTCTCTTTTAAGCCCAGCTTCTCATCTATAACTTTATCCCACTTGCAATACAATAAAATTCCACCCTGCATGACAGAAGGTTTTTTGATCAGTAGAATTCAGCAGCCAAAGCATTAGTGTTTTGGTTTCTGGCTGGGGTGTGTGTGTATGTGTGTGTGTGCTTTCTGGAAAGCATTTGTAGCTACAGGCTCAAAGGAGGAAGAAAGGGAGAGGGATTAACTCTCTGTAAGGAAGGTCAAAAACATAATTTACAAGTGAGGCAAGAGTAGCAGCTGTATCTGTTGGCCCAATCAAGACTACCAGCTGGAGAATTTACCAGCAGTATGAAAACCACGTCCACCAGATGTCAAGCAATGTACTAGAGACCAAACATCTTTGGGCTCATTGTAGGGCTCTCTACTCTCTTTGCTGCCCATATTTCATGTTAAACAGTAAGGTGTCTTCCACAGGCCACCAGCAGGGATAAGAACATTTCCGTACAAAAGACTTAATAACATGACCATACCCCACCAGACTCCACCTCATACATGTTCTTTTGTTAAAAAGCAATTTTAGCTCAGAGTCAACATGTAAGGGATGAGAGAAACCTAAAATGGCTACAATCCATTCTTGTGCAAGGATTCTTGCAGCTTATCAGGCTTATTTTATATTTGGGAACCATTTTGTCACTGGGAAGAAAAGAATGTTCTGAAAATATTTATTTGAATAAGCATTCTTTCCACTCACTCTTTAAACCTATGCTGCTCAGTTTGGTAGCCACTCACTTGTCTATCTAAATTTAAAGTAAGTAAAATTTAAAATTCTGATCCTTGGGCATAGCAGCCACATTTCAAGTGCTCAAAAGCCACATGTGGCTAGTGGCTATCCTATAGGACAACACAATATAAACAGAAAAAATTTCCATCATCATAGAAAATTCTATTAGATTGTTACTCTATACCCACGAATCACCTTCAAAAAGGGCAATTATAATTCCCTTCTCCACGTGCTACAAACAAAGAAATCTTATGCATTCTCTTGTGAAATAAGTCTACTAATACAACATGAGAATTGTATTAGATCAGGGTGAGACAAAGGGGAGGCAGAGCTCTGGAATATTTTCACAAATGAAGCCAGTTTGATGAAATGCTGTTGTACAGTGTATTCTCAGAAGCCTAGTGATGCTACAGGCTGGCTAGATAATACACAGAGGACAGTCTGAATGGGCAGTGATATGACAAATAAGCAATCAAGTATTCTTTCTTACATGTATCCTTGTTTTATTAATCAAGCAATCTGTATTAGTTCATATCAGAAGTTTCCTTTTATTTCCAAATGTGCAAAAGAAATCATGTCCTTTAAAAAAGAGGTTGCCCCACTTTACAGCTTTGCATTTGGGGTATTTTAATGCAAATAAACATCATATGCCACAGCTGTTTCTAGAAATTTTATGAACAAGAAGAACATGAAGCCAATATAAAATCAAATCCACAATTATGTTTCTTACTCGCAGGCTCCCCCATCATGATAGCAGGGAAGCCAAGCAACTCAGAGGTGCTGTGTGGATGTCTGAGGCTGTTGTGACTGTGGGGCATATGCACACAGGCACGTGGCACACAGAACACAGACCTATGAGCCCGCCCATGAGGACACCATGGCACGCCAAAGCACACCAGCCCAAGAGGCATGGCGTTATTTGCAAGCACGTCAGCCACTCTGCCTTCATGTGCAGGATGCTGTCCAGGTTGTCGACTTTCTCTGCCTTGGTTTCCTTTATGTATCCCAACACTCTGCAAAATCACTCAGCCCTATCAGCCCAGCAGCTTCTCTCCCATTGTTTTTCTTCCCAATCCCCGGTTTATTCCTTCCCAATTGTTCACAATGGATGAAGAACAACAAGATGGGAAGGGGAAGGGTTTTTCCTATTCTCCGTTGTTCAGTCATCAAAAGCAAAAGAGAACTGCTGTTTTTCCCTGGGATCACTGATTGTTCTTAATCAGATTCTTATAAAGATCATAGAGCTAGTGCCCAAGATAGGCTGAACAAAGTCATTTGTATCAACTTGGCCAGGTAGAGGTTCATGCAGTGCTACAAGATTTTCAGATTAGGCTCCAGTTTTCCCACTTACTTTGGCTTTCCCATCCTGGGCTGACATATATCCAACACACATGCTCTCTGTCGTATGGCTCCACAGAAATTCCACTGCCATGGAAGAGAACACAAAGAAGCACATTCAGATCACAGATGGAAAATAAATCTTTGCTTTTTAATAGACCAGTTAAAGATAGCTTTATATTTAACACACTCAGTTCCCTACTTTCCATTTGCTCCTTCATAAATGTCAAGATGATTTAGTACTCAAAACTGTGTAATGCCATTTACTATGAAATGAAAAATGTATTTCTTCCCTGTCGAAACTTATGATTATTACATGTAAAATAAATGCTCTTCTGTTTGAAACTTGTAACATTAAACACACACACATGCATGCACCCACGCTCCTACATACAGTACACAATGATTTAGTAAATGTAATATTCCATAACATAGTTTCTTTTAAACGGCCCCCCTGACCCCATCCCACCTCTGAGCTTGGTTTCTAAATACTACTCTCCATGAAAAGGAACCAGGATTCCTTGGAGAATGTTGATTCCAGGCCTGGAGTAGAGAAAATATAAAATGAGTCTTAAACACGTTGTTGCTCCAGAAAGTAAAGAAGTACTCAAAGAATGATGAGGACTTATCAAAGGGACCCAGGGGTCATCATGAAAGGGCACCCACTGGCCAAATCTGTGCCACTTTAAGTACCAAAATAAATAATGAGAGTAATGAATTATCACCACTGAATAAAATAAGAACAATGAGCCCATACTATGGCAAGCAAATAAATGAATAAACAAACGGAGGAGAAGAAAATACTTGTACTTGTAGTAGAATCCCACCAAACAAAGATAGAAGAAATAATAGAGTTAGAAAACCATCAGGACTGCTCAACCCAGTGGGTGGAAATCTGAAGAGGAACAGACTATTTACATAGTTTCAAAGTCTCTCTCCACAAAATTCTTGTTAAATGTAAAGGTGGAAAATGTGAGTTCACTGTGGAGGGACCTAATACACTCTCCCCTTAATCAAATGATCAAAGCGAACATCACCAGTTAAGGGACAAATCAACACTGTGCACCTCTTGATAAGTTGCTCTGAGATATACCACCACTTCTGCGGTGTTCGTGCCAAAATGCAGAACCAGAACTGCACGAGGAACCACACAAATGACACAGGAACACTACTAAATAGCTGGTTTGAACTCTTCAAAAATGTCATAGTCAAAAAATGTAAAGAAAAGTTGAGAAACTGTTTTCATTTACAGTAAACATGACAACTAAATGAAATGTGTCAACTTGGCCTGAACCCTGGACTAAGGTGAGGAATGTTTAAGGGACATTATTGAGGCAATAGATGAAGCTTGACAAGGGACTCAGTATTACATTCAAGTGTATTAATATTAAATTTTATGATTTTCATAACTGTACTGTGCTTATGTAGAAGAATGGCCGTGCTCTTAAGAAATACACACTGAAGTATTAGGAGTAAAGATGCCTGAAATCTCCATCTTGCTCTCAAGTAGTTCAGGGAAAAAAATGTACATATTTAAGTGCGCGTGTGTGTGTATGTGTGTGTGTGTGTGTACAGGGAAGAAAGAGGGAAGGACAGAGTGAGGACGGAAAAGCAAATGGGGGAAAATAAAAACCATGGTTGGATCAGGGCAAAGGACTCATGGGTGTCTCTCATACTATTCTTGCAACTTCTCTGTAAGGTTGAAATTAAATATGAGTAAAAAGATACAAAAGGGAAAATTCACAAACATACTTTCAAAATTTTAAGTTTCTTTAAAAGGCATTTTTTAAAGTTTTGATGTACTTCTCCAAGAAAAATTTTTAAAGTCCCTGATAATAAAACTGCATTGCTCAACACTAAACCCTCTGGGGCCCAGGCCATCGGTCTGTTTATATCTCCAAGCTAATTAAGCCTGAAGACAAGTGTTTGAGTTGAGACACAACTGTGGGATAAGTGATCCTAGACTCTGAAGGTTTTGCCAGACATGTGGGAAAGAAAGAAGCAGTAATGAGCAGAATTGAGTTCCTCAGATACGTGGCTCATTCTTTCGTCATTAATTAGTTACCAAACCTGCCAACCTGCCCAGCAGACGCCCTGTGAAGAGTGCAGGAAAAGTGTGTCACGCAAGGAAGCAAGTCCTCTTCACCAGATGTTTTTTCTTCCTCACACATCTGCTTTGAACTTCAAAAATTCTGAAGTCCAGAGCAAGGTCTGGGATATGCTAACTGCCTAATAGAGCAAAGGCACTTAAGTCTTAACTGAATTTCCCTAGGGTAGTGACACAGCAACTGGATGTCAGTGCAAAGTTAAGGCATTTCTAAAATTGTAACTTTGTATTGCCCCAAATGCTAAGGCAGCAACTGCTCATGAATTAGCCAAGAAAAATACATGGAAAGAGAGTCAATCTAATCATGAAAGTGAAGGATAAGAACATGCATTTTTTTTAAGACACAAGTTTGAGGACTTTAAACCTTAATTGTTTTCTGAAAATGTAGCCTGATTTAAGAAATGGTAATACATAAAAATATTAGACTTATAAAACAGTATAAATTGAGTACACTGAGTGACTTCATTAGATAATTGTTTTTATATTGAAGGTTTTCAATGAAGTTTTCAGATGTGCCTTATGAATTCTTATAGAAAGCAACTCAGTGTCTAGAAATGCACTCTTCACTCTTTCTTAACAAACCTTTATCACAAAAAAGGGTGTGTGTACCTTGTATTGACACAATTCAAATCGAAATACAGTGTTCAGTACTAGCTCAGGCTAGCTTGAGAAACTCAACAGGAATTGCTTACAAGTTAAATTATAGAAGGCTTTTGAAAACAAACTCTATTTTTATTTAAGTGTATATAATTTACAAATTATTTCTTGGTGGAAGGCTTCAGGGAAGCAAAAGGAGAAACACTGAGAATCTGTTATATGCCAGGCACTGTTTTTCATAATAGAACTCATAAAAGCCTGGATGGGGAGCCTGAGGCTCAGAGAAGGTAAATAACATGGCTTAGATCATTTTTGTAGCTGCACAAATTAGAATTCAAACTGGACTTTCAGATTCCAAAACTTGTAGTCTTTCATTCTTCTATTACTCTGAAATTTATTCAGCTTGGAAAGAAGAGTTTATAATTAATGTTATATATTAAAAGGATTAAGTTCCTTATAAACACCAAAGGACCACAAAACATCAAACACAAATACAACTCTTATACAACTCTTAAGGAAAGCTTTTAAAACTGTAACAAAACCCAGAGGCCATAAAAGACAAGATCAATACATTTGACTACATTAAAAAATCTTCTTTTGCCATGTGGGGATAAAAAGTCAAGAGATGAATGACAAACTAGGGAAAATATTTGCAGTTCATAGCATAGAAAAGGGACTAATTTTCCTAATATAAAGATCTGCTATAAATCAGTAAGAAAAATTCAAAAGGAAAAAGAGAAAACAAAATGGATATTAATAAAAAGGAATATGAATGGCTCTAAAACATGATAAGATGCTCTATATTTCTCATACTAAAAGAAATGCAAATGAAAACCCCAAGCCACCATTTAATTATCAGGTTATCAGATAATTAAAAAGTATGAAACAACATTATGTTAGCTGGGGGTGGAGAAAAGTACACTCTTGTATAATGAAGGTGGGAGTGTGGCCATTTGGCAATTTATCCTTGTAATTTGGGGTAAATGTGTTCTGTAAAGTCACCATGAATACTGAATTAGCAAATACTGAGCCACTGCTCCTAGGGGAAACACAGGGTTAATTATCACAAGCCTCTGGATACAACATTTTCCATCAATATGTAACCTTATTTTATGTGTGTTTCTGTTTAAACACATCTTATTTAATATATATTTCTTTTAATTAATTATATGCAGTCTGTTTTTATAATAAAACATTAGTCAAGAAGAGTTTAACATTTTCCTGACCCTAGATAACCTGCCCATGAATTTGACTTTCAGCCCCACAACACTGTCCCCTGTGCTCTTTTGATTGGTTGTTATCTCATAAGTCCACAAGTTTAGCTATTTCTTCAGCTTTTCTGTGGCTTCATTATACACTGTAGATGTTTCTTTAGCCATTTCCCTACACACAGAGCAGTAAAAATTCCTCTTCCATTTTCTGGATGTGCTGTATTATTGATTCATTAATTCTGAACTCATGGCCCACAATATTGTAACTATGGCCTGAATGAAACTTATCCAACACGCCCATTTTCTCTACAAGACACCACGACCTCCTTGCACTCAGGAACTCCAGACAGCACTTCAGCACTGTGCTGAGGGGCCATTTGAAACACTGAAATCATCACCAAAAGGCACCAAAATGTGAAAAATGAGGCACTTAACACACCACAAAATGAACAATGGCTTACGTTCGGAGAGCTGAGACAAGAAAGCACAGCATCACCTTGCTCACTTCAACTGGGAATGTGCATGTCAGGCAACTCAGCTTCCTTACCACTCAGAGGCGCATGCCTGCAGATGAATGACTGCAAAGGTGCTGGGAGGACTGGTTTTGAGATTACAAATAAAAATGAACAAATTCGGAAGCTGCAAATAATGAGGAATGACGTGCCCTTTGACCTAGTAATTGTGCTTCTACATATTTATTTTACAGGTATGACTTCTTATGTGTGAAATAACATCTTCACAAAGATAATCACTGAAGTAGTTTTAATTAGGAAGAAACTGGAAATAGCTTAATGCCTTCTGATGGGAGTATATATGAAAAACTACAGTACTCTATCCAGTGGAATACTACACAACAATTAAAAACAAGGGAGGAAGCCCCACTTAGGTGATATGCCACCATCTACACTGTCTTCAAACTTTTTGACCAGGAATGACAGTGAAACAAAATTTAAAAGGCCCATACATTGTCACTTGGTACACACATTTCTTTATAAATGAAATTTCACAAAGTAATACCCTTCTACTTGTAATGTACTCGTTTATTCTGTTGGGTTCTTTATATTCTGCGCATTGCATTTAAAAGATTCTGCTTGTGACTCACTAAATTGACTTTAGACCTTATTAATATGACATGCTTCAGGTTGAAAAAACACTGATTCACAAGATAATAT